GTGGTAGCGCATGCCTGTAGTTCTGGGTATTTGAAAGGCTGAGACAGAAGGATCACCAGAGCCCAGCAAGTTGATGCTGGGATGGCCATGAGTGTGCCACTGCACTATAGCCTGGGCAACAGAGTGAGACTCCACCTCAAAAAAAAAAAAAAAAAAAAATCTAGGAGCAGAAAGGAAAAAGAAATGAATAAAAGCAGAGAAATCCGAAGGGATGCCTGGGATATCATCAAATGAACCAATACATGTAATATGATATTTTCAGAAGAAGAGAGAAAGGGGCAAAAAAAATTTTTTTTGAAGAAATAATGGCCCAAAACTTCCCAATCTTGTGAGAAACATAAATCTACAAATCAAAGATGTTCTACAAACTCTAAGTAGGATAGACTCAAAGAGACCCCCTACAAGACACATTATAATCAAATTTTCAGAAACTAAAAAAAAAAGAAAGAATCTTGAAAGAAGCAAGAGAAGCAAGAGAGAAGTGTCTAGCCATGGACAAAGATTCTCAATAAGATTAATAACCAATTTCTCATTAAAAAAAAAAAAACTGGGGCTGGGCGCAGTGGCTCAAATCTGTAATCACAGCACTTTGGGAGGCTGAAGCAGGAGGACTGCCTGAGCTCAGGGTTTCAAGACCAGCCTGGATAACTTGGTGAGACTTCATCTCTACAATAAATAAAAAAATTAGCCAGGCATGGTAGTGTGTGCCTGTAGTTCCAGCTATTTGGAAGGCTGAGGTGGAAGGATCGCCTGAACCCAGGTCAACTCTGGGGTAGCCATGAGCATGCCACTGCACTACAGCCTGGGCGATGGAGTGAGACTCCAATTCAAACACCCCCCCCCCAAAAAAAAAAAAACAAATTAAGCGGTGGGAAAAAAATAAGGAGGTCAGAAGACAGTGGTATGATGTACTTAGAGTTGCTGAAAAAAAAAGTCAACCAAGATTTCTATATCTTGCAACACTATACTTCAAACATGAGGGGGAAATTAAAACACTCACAGATATACAAGAGCTGTGGGAGTTTGTATCACTAGATTTTTCTAGAAGAAATGCCAAAGGGAATTCTTCAGGTTGGAATGAAAGGACACAAGACAGTAACTCAAAGCTATATGACAAAGTAAAAAATGCCGATAAAGGCAAATGCATGTGCAACCATAAGCATTGTTATTGTCTTTTCATTTTGTAATTTTTGGTTTATAATTTCACTTTTTATTTTCTAAATAAAAAATTCAAAAGACAAATGCATAAAAATCATAAATTTGTGATATAACATCTCAGAAATGAAATAACTTAAGTGAAATAGAAAAATTTCTAGAAATATACTCACTGCCTAAACTGAAACAAGAAGAAATAGAAAATCTGAATAAACCTATAACAAGTAAAAAGATTGATTCGATAATAAAAATCTCCCAACAAAGAAAAGTTCAGGACCAGATAGCTTCATTGCTGAATTACACTAAATATTTAAAGAAGAATTAACATCAATCCTTCTCATACTTTTACAACAAATAGAGGAGAAAATAGTTCATAATTCATTCTATGAGGACTGCATTACCCTGATACCAAAGCCAAAGACTCCAAAAGAAAATAAAACTACAGACCACACCTTTAAGAATATAGATGCAAAAATCCTCAACAAAATATTAGCACACTGTATCCAACAGTATATGAAACCATGACCAAGTGAGATATACATAAGAAATACAAGTGTAATTCACCATAAGAACACCAATTAATGTAACAGACCACATTAGAACAAAAAAAATGCAATACCTTCTCAAATGAGGTAGAAAAAAATATTTGACAAGATCCACATTACTACTATTTTACTTTCTGTTATGATTTGTTTCATTTCAGTTTTTAAATTTATACTTATGCCAATTCTGATAGATTGTATTTTTCTGGGACGTTTACACTTCATTTCAGGTTTCTCTGAGTGGTTTTTATTATAAAAGTCACCAGAAAAATAGTAATAAAAGGAAATTTCCTCAACATGATTAAGGATATTTATAAATAACTGACAGTCGACATTACATTCAATAATCTAAAAGATTGCCCCTATGATCAGGAACAAAACACAGATGCCCACTTTCATTAATACTATTCAATTTGTACTAGAAATATTAGACAGATAAATTAGAAAAGGAATAAAATTCATCCAAATTGGAAATGAAGAAGTAAAACTACCTCTATTCACGGGTGACGTGATCCTATATACAGACAAATCCCAATGAATCCTTAGAAGAAAAAACAAAACTATGACAGATAATAAACAAATACAGCAAAGTTACAGGGTACAAGATCAACATACAAAAATCAGTTGTGTATCTATAGGCCCTCAATGAACAATCCAAAAAGGATATTATGAAAGCAATTCCATTTACAATAACATCTAAAATAACAAAATATCTAGAAAATAAATTTAATTAAGGAAGTGAAAAAATTGCATGGTGAAAGCTGCAAATCACTGCTGAAGGAAATTAAAGAAGACCCAAATAGGTAGAAATACATTCTATGTTCATGGGTAGGCAGGCTTAATATTGTTAAGATGTCAACACTACTCAGAATGATCTACATATTCAGTGCAATCCTTATAAGAATTCCAATGGCCTTCTTTGTAAATATGAAAAAGCTGATACTGACTATTAAATGTAGAAAAAAATTCAAAATAAGAAACACATAGTCTTGAGAAATGAATAACAAATGTACTTGTAATTCAAAGCCTGTAATAGGAACACAGGAGTCTTCGAGGAACAATTTATAATCTTAAATTTATTCATAGAAAAAGTATGAAAAGTTGACAATCTTTTATACTTTCAACTCAAAATTAGAAAAGTTTGGTTAAGCAAACTCAAAGAATGTAGAAAAATAAATGAATGGATACATGGCTATATGAATAGATAGTAAAGCAACCAATTTATGAGTTCTCCCCCACCCTCATCTCCCCTATTCACACACACATGCTAAATCTCTAGCCGGTAGTTTTATGAAAAAAAGACAACAAATAGAAAATTTTTGGCAACTATGATCAGGAATAAAGAGGGGTCAAAAAATAGTAACAGGATAAGATTATATGAAATATATTACACAATATCACTATATGCAAAACCTGAAATGAAGTGCAAACTTCCTAGAAAAATACAATCTATCGAAATTGGCATAAGAATAAATTTAAAAACTGAAATGAAACACAAGTCATAACAGAGAGTAAAATATTAGTAATCATTTATACCCTCAAAAGTACTAGGATCAGGGTGTTTTATGGGCAAATCAACTCAAACCTTCATGTAGTAGCTATTTTCTATTTTAGTAGAAATGATTTCAGAGAATAGAAATAGATGGGAAAGTATTCAACTCATTCTACAAAGTCAGCGGTACACTGATGCCAAACAAAAATGATGTAAAGTGTGGTGGTTCACACGTGTAATCCCAGCACATAGGGAGGCCAAGACAGGAAGATTGGTTGAGACCAAGAGTTTGAGAACAGTCTGGGCAACATAGTGAGAGCTTGTCTCTACAAAAAATTTTTAAAAAATAGCTAGGTGTAGTGGTGTGCAACTGTAGTCTCAGCTACTCAGGAGGCTGAGGCAGAAAGATAGCTCGAGTCCAAGAGTTTGAGGCTATAGTAAGCTGTGATCATGCCACTGTACTCCAAAAAAAGATCAGCAAAGGGAAGAAAAATCCTAGACCCATCTCATTTGTGATATATATAAAAAAAATTCTAAATAAAAACTTAATTCCTTCTCCTTATTAAAGAAATAATGCAAAAAACAAATCCAAATAAGGTTTTCTTAACAACTCAAAGGCATTTCACATTAAATATCTATTCTTGGCCTCAGTAGATTAAAACAACAAAATTATATCATTCTTTCAAGAGTTGCTACAAGTATTTCAATAAAGCCAGTATTGATTTATAATAGTTTTAAAAAGGAAATTAGCTATAAAAGGTAACTTCTTTTTTTTTTTGAGTTGGAGTCTCACTCTGTCGCCCCGACTGGAGTGCAGTGGTCACTCCCGGCCACTACAGCCTCGACCCACTGGGCTCCGGCGATCCTTCCACCTCAGCCTTCCGAGTAGCCGGAATTACAGGCACGCACTACCATATCCGGCTGATTTTTTGATTTATTGTAGAGATGGGGTCTCACCAAGTTGCCCAAGTGGGTCTCGAAACCGCGGGCTCAGGCAATCCACTCACCTCAGCCTCCCAAAGCACGGGATTACAGGCTGAGCCACCGAGCCCGGCTAAAAGGTAACTTCTTAACCTGGTGTAATATATCAATCTGCAATCTACAGGTCAGGCCAAAAACTTACTAGTGAACCAGTAGAAGCATTTGTAATAAAATAAAAAACAAGATAAGGAGACCTAGCATCATTTCTACTGGAGATTGCAACCACTGCAAGGAGACAAGAAAAATAAATAAGAGAAAACATGGAAAGGAAGTGATTTTTAAAAGTCTTTATTTGAAGAAAATGTGATCTTTTGCCTATAACTATCAAAATAATCAGTTGAGAAACTATTAAAAATGAGTTATATAAGATGGCTGGATACAAGATCAATGTGTAAAAATCAATAGCTGTGATTGATCAGCAAATGCAATTTTAAAAATCTCTTTTGCATTGGCCTAAACATCCTAAAGTGTCCAAGTATAAACCTAGAAAGCAAGCACAGGCCTTTATAGAGAAAAGTATAATAACTAGTGGATTTTTAAATAGGCTAAAAGAGATTTCTAAGTTGAATTTTAAAATCTTAAAGAAAACTATACTTTTACATTTGTATTCTTGAGCATACCAGTTTTACACTCAAAGTAGTTGTAACTACAGCAATGCCAGTCAAGAATTAAACAAACAAAAATCCACACTGACAGACAAATTAGTGTTGACTGGCGCGTGGGGATTCCCGTCCTCCTTCACTAGCAGCCCTTTCTTCCCTGTGATGGAACAGAAGCATCCAGTCCACAAACCCGGGCAAAGGAACCAACCCCCGGCTTTTTGTTCTTACCTGTTGGTGAGACAAGTCCCCAACCCGTAGCCCAGCAAGGAACGTTGTTGCTGAGATTCACATCCGGAGGTGCCAAGCAGACCGGGCGCACAAAATCGGAAAACACAATGCGAGACTTCAGCAGTATCAGGGCCACATCGTTTCCGACGGGGTGGTACTTCTTGTACCTGGGGTGCAGGATCACCCTGTGCACCTCGTACCACTGGGTGTAGTTGCCAGCTACCTCGAGGTCCACGAGCCCCACGTACACATCATAGAGATGGATGATCTTGTCCCTGCAGGGGCAGAATAGAGGCCCGTTGCCTGCAGCCTCTGAGCCCCTCTCTCACCCTTACTGGGGGTCTGGACATGAGCGTGGCGGCCAGCCTCCCACATGGGGGCCTGGCCGTGCACATGGGGACCAGCCTTGAGTGCTGGAACAGGGCTGTGCGCGTGGCAACCGTCAGAGCACGCTACGTAGGGCACGCCACGCAGGACCCACGCCCCCCACTGTCCCCGCACCCCCTGCCCCCACTCACCGGCCGAAGCAGTGCGCGGCCGACAGCACCCAGTATTCATTGAGGATGGAGCCGCCGCACACGTGGTAGCCTGCGTAGTGCACGCTGACCTGCCATGGCCACATCGCCTCAGGGGCAGGGGAACCGCCCATGACCTTCCCTTCCAGGCCACGCCGGCCACAGGCTGGGGGAAAGGACAGAGCGCAGAGTGGAGGGATGCTGGGACCACGGAAGGGGCAGGGAGGGCAGGGGAGTCGTGGTGGGGGAGGGACGGGCAAAGGAGCCATGGTAGGGGAGGGACAGAAGAAGACTGGAGGGGCAGGCACTGGCTGGCTCGGTGGCCCAGCAGGGCGCCTAAAGACACAGTCTCCGCTGAGCAAAAGGTACTTCCCCGCCCTCTTCTAGGGCAGGGCCTACCCACGGAGTCACTCAGAGAGATTGCCTGACTTCTGGGGCGTCCGCGGACCGCAGCGATGTCCAAAAGGGTGCCCAGCAGAAGCAGCAGCTGAAGGCCCAGGGCGCAGGGCCGCAACCGGCCCACGGAGGACCTAGGGGCGGACATGAGGCCGGAGGGAGCAGCCCAGCACATGACCGCGACCCCAGCAGGTGAGGACGCAGGACCTGTACACGTGACTGGGCCTGAGGCCTGGACACGTGACCCTGCCCTCAGCAAGTGAGGACACCCCCTCCAGTACGTGACTATACCCTTGCCTGTGACTATGTACTCAGCAGGTGACGGCGCCCCCAACAGGTGAAGACGCTGCACCCGCACTTGCGATGGTGCCTGAGTTCTGCACATGTGACTGACAACCCTGGACCTAGTCATGTGACTGTGCCCCACCACACGTGACTCCCCAGTGGCTGAGGCTCACCCCACAATAAGGGCCCCACCACTTGGACACGTGAGGATGTCCCCAGCCCAGCCTAGACACTTGGGGCCCGCACAGGTGATTGTGCCTGAGCCCTCGATACGTGATGGCGTCGCATAAGCATGACTGCCTTAACTAGTGATTGTGTTCCCCGCGATGAGACCGTCCGAGGTAAGCATGATATGAGGCTTGAGGCCTCTACATATGACTGTACCCCCAGTCCAAATCTAAGCTCCATCAGTTGACTGCTCCAGTCCTGGGTGCCTGGATACTAACAGTGCCCAGTCCCACCCCAACAGGCCTAGGATTGGCATTCCATTCTATTTTCATATGTGCGTGTGCTGGCTCCGTTTGAGAATTTCGTGTAATAATTGCAAGACCTTCAGCCTTCTCCATGGCAGATTCATCCTGCTAGATCAGTTACTACTTACACATTTGCACCCAGCTGTCAAAAATGTTTTCGTTAAGGCTTAATTTGTACACTAAAATTTACCTCAACTTGCACCTTTTGACATGTATAGAGTCCTGTTACCACTACCAAGGTATAGAAGAGTTCCACAGGATTACCTAACAAAGGATGAGAAACATTCTAAAACCCCATCTAGAGGACTTAAAAGACATGAACGGAAAGCTGTACAGTATGTTTGTGGCTATGAAGGCTTAAGTCATAAATACAGTCATCTCCAATCACTCCGTGAAATCAGTGCAATTCCAATCAAAATCGTGACATGGTTTTCATGGAAATTATTTTTAGTTGACAAATTATGCTTGTATTACATTATGGAATGCAATGTGGAATGATTAATTCAAGCTAATTAACATATTCATCGCTCTACTTAATGTTTTTGTGGTGATATATTTTAGTTTACTCCCTTAGTTATTTTGAAATACGCAATATATTATTCTTGACTATAGTCACCAGGCTGAACAATAAATCTCAAAACTTATTCCTTCTATCTAGCTGAAACTTTGTACATTTGACCAGCAACTCCGCATTTCCTACCTCCCCACCCTCAGCCTCTGTAACCACCCTTCCTACTCTCTACTTCCATAAATTCAACTCTTTTTGAGATTCTACATATAAGTGAGATAATGTGGTATTTGTCTTTCTGTGCCTGGCTTATTTTACTTAGCATAAAGTCCTCTAGATTTATCCATGATGTCCCAAATAACAGAATTTCATTTTTTGGTTGTTGTTTGGTTGGGTTTTTTTTTTTTTAGTTCGAGTCTCACTCACAGCCACTGCAGCTTCTACCTGCTGGGATCAGGCGATCCTTCTGCATCAGCCTTCCAAGTAGCCAGAACTACAGGCACATGCTACCACACCCAGCTAATTTTCTGATTTATTGTAGAGATGAGGTCTCACCAAGTTGCCCAGGCTGTTCTTAAACCCATGGGCTCAGGCAATCGTCTCGCCTCAGCCTCCCAAAGTGCTGGGATTACAGGCTTGAGCCACCATGCCTGCCAAGGTCATTCTTATGCCGAGGGCGTGAGAATATGTGTGTATCACATTTTCTTTATTGGTTCCTCCATTGATAGACACTTAAGTTGACTCCATATCTTGGCTGTTGTGAATAGTGCTTCAGTGAACACGGGAGTGCTGATAGCTCTTTGACATGTTGGTTTCATTTCCTTTGGATGTATATTTAGTAGTGGGATTGCTGGATCATGTGGTTAGTCCTATATTTTTAATTTTTTGAGGAACCTCCATGCTGTTTTCCATAATGCCTATACTAGCTTACATTCTCACCAACAATACTCAACGATTCCCTATTCTCTGTATCCTTGCCAACGCTTATCTTTCATCTTTTTGATAAAAATCATGCCAACAGGTGTGAGATGATATCTCGTTGTGGTTTTAATTTGCATTTCTCTAAAGATGGTGATGCTGGGCACTTTTTCATGACGCTGTTGGCCATTTATGTGTCTTCTTTTGAGAAGTGCACAGAGAGATCCTTTGTCCACTTTTAAATTAGGTTATCTGTTTTCTTGCTTTTTAGTTGTTCCTTATAATATTTTCTGTATTAACCCCTCATCAGATGTAAGGTTTGCAAAGATTTTTCTCACTCTGTGGGTTCTTTTCACTTTGTTTATTGTTTCCTTTGCTGTGCAGAAGCTTTTTTTTTTTTTTTTTTTTGAGTTGGAGTCTCACTCTGTCCCAGGCTGGAGTCCCGTGGCACACTAACTGCCACCCCAGCATCGACCTGCTGGGCTCCAGTGATCCTTCCGCCTCAGCCTTCCAAATACCCAGAACTACAGAAGTGCGCTACCATGCCCGGCTAATTTTTGATTTATTATAGAGACGAGGTTTCGCCATGTGGCCCGGGCTGGTCTCGAACCTGTGGACTCGGGCAATGCACTTACCTCGGGCTCCCAAAGAACTGAAATTACAGGCTAAGTCATCAAGCCCGGCCGCAGAAGCTTTTTGGTTTGATGCAATCTCATTTGTCCAGTTTTGCTTCCGCTGCTTGAGCTTTCCAGGTCATAGTAAAAAATCCTTGCATAGGTCAATGTCTTGAAGCTTTTTCTGTGTTTTCTTCTGGTAGCTTTGTAGTTTCTGGTCTAATGTTTAAGTCTTTAATCTGTTTTGAGTTGACTTTTGTATATAGTGTAAGATAAGGTTCTAATTTTTTTTCTTCTGCATGAGGATAACCAGTTTTCCTAGCACATTTACTGAATAGACTGTCCTTTCTCCATTGTGTGTCCTAAGCACCTTTGTCAAAAATCAATTGACCATAAATGCATAGGCTTATTTCTGAGCTATCTGGTATCATTGGCCTAATGAGTCTGTTCATATGCCAGTACCATACTGTTTGGGTTGCTTTGTCTCTTTTCATAATTTTTTACTTAAGTCTATTTTATCTGATGTCTCTTTTCATAATTTTTTACTTAAGTCTCTTATATCTCTCTCTCCCCTGCTCTCTCTTGTTTTCCATTTATTTTGAATATCTTTTTCCATTCCTTCATTTTTACTCTCTTTGTGCCCTTACTAGTAAAGTGAGTCTCTTATAGGCAAAATATAGTCATTTCTTGCTTTTTCAATCCATTCACCCACCTTATGCCTTTTGATTGAATAATAATAATAATTATTTTTTGAGTTGGAGTCTCACTCAGTTGCCCAGACTGGAGTGCAGTAGCTGCTCCATAATTTAATTTTTTATATTCAAGGCAATTATTGATAGATAAGGACCTACTAACGCCATTTTGTAATTTGTCTTCTAGTCATTTTGTAGATCCTTTGTTTCTTTCTTCCTCTCTTCCTTTGTGTTCGATAGTTTTCTGTGACAGTCTTCTTTGAATCCTTTATTTTTATATTTTGTGCATCTACTATAGGTTTTTCTTTGTGGCTACTATGAGGCTTGTTGTCTCAGTCCATTTTCTGTTGCTAAAAGAGAATAGCAGAAACTGGGTGATTTATAAAGAAAAGAAGCTTATTTAGCTCAGTTCTGACAGCTAAGAAATCTAAGGGCATGGTGCTGGCATTTGAAGGAGGATCTTCTTTCTTGTTAAGTTATGACATGATGGAGGGCATCACAGTGAGAGGGCAAGAGCAAGTGAGCCAGAGAGATCTCAGAGTTTTGCTACTTTTACGCAAAGCCACTCCCATAATAATAAACCCACTTATAAGGGCAGAACCCTCATTAAGCCATTCTTGAGGGCAGAGGGGTTAAGTTTCCAACACATAAACTTTTCAAATCATAGTACTTATATAAAACATCTTATATTTAAAACAGGCTATTTTAACCTGATAACAGCTTTAATTGCAAACAAAACTTCTATATTTCCACTTCCTCCCCCCAACTTTTGTGATTTTTATGTCAAAATTTACCTTTTTTTTTAGTAATTTGTATCCTTTAACAACTTACTGTAGCTACAGTTTGTTTGTTTGTTTGTTTGTTTGTTTGTTTGTTTGTTTGTTTGACTTGGAGTCTTACCTCTGTCACCCAGGCTGGAGTGCAATGATACATTCATGGCCACCCCAGTGTCGACCTGGTGGGTTCTGGCGATTCTGCCGCCTCAGCCTTCCAAGTAGCTGGAACTTCAGGTGCACATTACCATGCCCAGCTAATTTTTGGTTTATTGTGGATATGAGGTCTCGCCAAGGTGCCTGGGCTGGTCCCAAACCCACAGTCTCAGGCAACCCACTCACTTCAGCCTCCCAAAGTACTGGGATTACAGGCTGAGCCACCGAGCCCAGCCTACAGTTATTTTTAATGGTTTTGTCTTTTAACCCTCATAGCAGAAGTAAAATGCTTTACACACCACCCTTACAGTATTCTGAGTATGACTATGTATTACTTATACCATTGAGCTTTTTACTTTCATCTGTTAGTTAGCAGTCTTTCATTTTAGCAATTTCTGTATAAAAAGCCCAGTGGTGATGAACTCCTTAGGCTTTGTTTGTCTGGGAAAGTTTTTATTTCCCTCTAGTTTCTGAAGGACAGCTTTGCTGGGTACCATATTCTTGGCTAACATTTTTTTTTCTCCTGCAGTACTTTGACTATATCATTCCACTCTCTCCTGGTCTACAGGGTTTCTGCTGAGAAAACCACCAATTGCTGTATTGGGACTCTATTGAATGTGATGTTTCTTAGTTCTTGCTTCTTTCAGTATTCTTTCTTTGTCTCTGAGCTTTGATAATTTGATTATGGTGTGTCTTGGTGAACTCTAGAATTGAATTTGATTGACAGCT